TCTTTCTATTTAGACATTCACTTTCCAAATCAGAAAAAATTAAAAGGGTTATAGATAAGAATCAGCTGTTTTACATAAACAATGTATGTTTTCCTGAAAAATTAAGAAACCCTACAGAAGCTTTTCATACATGATATTAGGCCAAAGAAGAATATTGCATAAAGGCTTGTAAGGATTATGTTAATTTTATTAACAGTTAAATTTTGAGTTAAACTTCCTTTCCTCTCAATTCTTAACTTGCATAAAGGCTTGACGGATTATGTTAATTTATTAACAGTTAAATTTTGAGTTAAACTTCCTTTCCTATCAATTCTTAACGTACCACTTCCGGCCAGAACGTAGTTTTTGAATCACGTCTGAATACATAATGAGGAAGAGCGGTATTTAACCACGAAGTTCTTCGGTCTTAGTGAGAGAGATACCAGATATTCTGGATAATACGCGTCCGCCTTTTTAGGCTACTCTGTCGTAAGCTATTATTACGCTCGGCCGTACTTTAAGCCCTTGATAGCTTCGCAGTCTATTAGCGTTAAGGGGCCAACTCTGTTAGAATTTTAATAGCCTCGGCTATATCTCTTTAGTTAAGATTAGTTTATTTCTTAGTCTCTTAAATTCAAGCCCAAGTGTCGGCTTTATTTGTACACTCCAAGACGGAGTTTTGTTAAACTTTAGTTGGAATAATAAAGAGTTATTTTACCCTTCTATCTTGTTGTTTCCTGTCGCACGAACTCAAGCGATTATTCGCTTATCAGTTCTTAAGATTCTTCACTTCCAACAGTAACTTGGTTTAGTTTGGTTTATTTAATTATGGCAAAGCACACTAGGACCATCTGCCTAAGGGTAGGGATGCCTTCGTGGAGGACATTCTAAGGGAAACTGACTCGTATACACGTTACACATGGGGAAAACCACGAAAACGCCCATGCAGCCAGCCCGTTCGCGGGATTCGAACTTTGGACCGAACTACCAGTGTTCAGCGACTTTACCGCTCGGCCGCTGGTGGGCCTGCAACAGTAACTTAGAATTACACAGTGAGGAATCCTACAGGCTTCTTATAAATGGTAAAGCTCTTTTTTCGGAAACTTTCCATAAATGCTTTTTTTTTTTTTGTCTGACGAAAGCCTTTTCTGTGCATTACATATGCTTTATGTATGCGTATCAGAGCCATGGCGAAGTTTCGCCGAATTGCTTAAGAAACGAGAGGAGAAGCAAAATTAAATACAACAAATTAACCGATTAATGAAGAAAATGATAAATCGAAGTATTTATAGGATGCAAATTTTAAATAGTCGAAGATTAAAACTGTTTAAAATGCAATTACAAAATTTTAATTTCTCGAAATTCCATTCAAAAAAATTGCGCTGTATGTGAAATTACCAATAATAGGTTCGATATGCTTACCGTTACTCCATAAAAGTACATGAGAAGGAAGCTTTCATTCCTTACAAAGTCTTAATTTTAGAAATGTTTTAAAATTAGTTAAAATAATTTTCACGAGTTTCTAAAAAGTTTTCGTTGACAGCATCTGTGAATTATAAACTGATATAAAAAGTTTAGTATTTTTATTTTAATGGAAAATTTAATGACACATATTTTAAACAGAAATGAGAGTTTTCTAAAAAAAAAAAGTAGAAATTTTTATATGGCCATAAACCAGTTCTCATTTATTATTTCCAGAACTTGAAAGACGATTTGGTTAAACCATTAAAATGACCACAGAACAAGTTTTTTAGGTTTCCTGGGATTCCTCTGCATAAAATTAATCGTTCTTTAGGACAACTTCCAATAAATCATTTCAGAGCAATCGGACAGTTTTAGAATAATAGTTTCAATCACAGCCGATGCTACGCAGGACATCGCAAAGCACGACCAACTAAGTGTTATTTCCAAGTAAGCATTCAAAGATGATGACACAAATATACCGACTGTTCTTGAAGTATTTTTCCTCGGCTTAGTTATAACACAGATAAACAAGCTAAAGATATTCTCTTCATATTTATATATAATATTCTGGAAGCAAATGAAACTGATTTGTTTCGGGATCAAAGGTATGGTAGAGCATGTAATATGTATGGAATATATAATGGAGTGCAAAAGCGCATTCAAACAATACCCCCAGCCAAATGCTCTCTATGTACATTGTGCTGCCCATAACCTTAACTGTTTGTCAATGATGGGATGCAAGATGTAAGACAGATACTCAAATATTTTAAAATTATTCAAAATATTCGGAGAAAGTTTTAAAAGATAGAGTTTACGTTTTTAGGGAGATTAATATTATTCTCAAAAATCTAAATCCTAAAAGGTGAGCTGAAAGATTATCATCTTTGATAGCAATTAAAATAAGATACTTTGACGTCTTGAAAGCATTAAATGAAATTACATTAATTTGAAAGAAAACACAAGAAAAAGACACTTCAAATGCAGGAAAATTTCTTATTCTTAACAATTTTTATGGAAAACGTTTTACTTTTTATTAATGCAGCGTCTCATGTGCTACTGTTCCAACTTAAAATCTCTAACGGGGTAAATTGCTGATGGCTTTTACCGCGTGGGGGTAAAATATAATTAGATGAGAACGATGAAACAGAGGGATGTGCAGATTGATCCAGCACTGCGACGCGTAGGATATTACCTTCTGTTTGAATCATGTTTTTTATTATTTACAATAAATAATCAAAAGGACTTTATGTGAGCATAACTGATTCACCACTTCAAAAAACGATGAAACTATATTACAAAGAAAATCAGTCGACTTGAATGAAGCTCATCAACATGTAAAAATTGTTTCTATCTGTATGCAACATCCGAGAAACAAGTCTGAAGATATCGTGAAAGAAGCTGAGTTTATTGCAAATAAATGTGCATAGAAAGTAGATTCGAAAATAAAAGACAAACAATTTTTTTATGAATTATGTGAGGATAATAGGTTTGAAAATTTAGAAATATCTTTTAAAGGAGCAGTTTTTTACGCTGTTCTCGAAAATACAGACTTGGAAAAAAAGTCGCAAGGACATTTTCATTTTTGGAATCTTAAACTCTGTCAGCTTTAATAAATACAGAAATTATTATAATGTTTCAAAAATACACAGAATGATTAAAGGCGACTTTATTAATCTCTAGAAGTGCAACTATTATGATTTATAAACACTTTCAGAACAGAAATCCAATAAAGATTTAGTTAATTTAGCAATGGTGAAATATTATGACATGGCAAGCAGTTATTCGGAAGTATGATATTTATTTATATTGTATTTATCATTACCTGTTACCATATCCAGCAGTGAGAGATCATTTTCAAAACTGAAACTAATAAAAACATATTTGAGAAACCCTACGACACAAGATTATTTGTTAAACCTATCACTGCTGAGCGTTGAAGGTGAGATGGCTGAAAAAATGGACGTCCAAGTATTGATAAATAATTTTGCGGAAATAAAGACTAGAAAACAAATTTTAATAAAGAAGGATTTTTGTCTTTATGAAGCTACTTGGCCATCAATGTTATACTTAATTATGAAATATTTTTAGAGAAGAAGAGTAGAAAGGACTGAAGATAATTAAAAGAAAACAGGAAGAATACCTTTAGCGTACATATTTTTATAAAAATAATGTATTCAAGTAGTTTAGTATATAAGGTATTTCTCCCGCCTTCTTAGCATGCCTTCGCAGTGTAGTGGCCAGCACGCTAAACACGTATTCCAGAGGTCCGTAGTTCGATTCTCGGCAAAGGACGTTGCTCCTTTTTCATCTCTCCTGCTTCGAAAAAACCTAATGTCTCTACAGTGGCACCTGAACTAAAAGGGTGGTGAAATTCCCCACACACAGGATTTGACGATGGGTCTCGTAAACACCCCAGTCGCCCTTTAAAAGAGGGAGTGTATAAGGTATTTCTCCCGCCTTCATAGTGTAATGATCAGCACGCTGGGCGCGTATTACAAAGGTCCGTGGTTCGATTCCCGGCGAAGGCGTTCTTATTTTTCATCTTTCCTGCTTTCAAAAATTACCTAATGTAAAATTTTTAAAAGGAGAGGAAAAAGAAAGTTTAGCATATATATTTTCTATAAAATTATATGTTGATAAAGTTTTCTTTATGAAATTCTCGATAAATATGTTTTAGAAAAGCTCTTATTTATTATTTGTATATTACTGCATAAGTCATGTTCGTAAGTTGAGTAAATCACAATGCACTATATATATTAGCGTGACTTTTTTTGTATTTTTACCTATTGTCCAATTATGGTTTGTAACATAAACAATTATTTATTAGCTTGTTAAACTAAGAGAAAAAATTACATTGGCAATGTTTCTTTTTCATATATCAATTCTTATTCATTTGTTATCTGTATCTCAGTGAGAAGAAAAAAATATCTGTCTTTCACACTCACACACAAAAAAGGCTTTAAATTGATTTAAATCATCTGATGCCGAAGATTATATCCAGACTGAAAAGGACATTTCACAATTTGTCCAGGTACATTTCCCTTTTTACTATTTCTTCACCTTACGTACCTTTCAAGTGGTTCCCTAAGAACACGGTTTTATTTTTTAACAATTAATCCATATCTGATAAAAATTATAATCAAAACGTTGGTTCCTGAAAACCTCGATCTTTTTCTTCTTTTCACATTTTTTTTTGCCGGGGGGGGTACTGTAAATTTATTGAGGGGACCCAAGAAAAATTTTTGTACAGGAGCCCAAGAATTCTAGCTACGCCACTGAGCAGAGGTTTTTTAACTCACCTAATTCAACACATGTTTACTTTTTGTCTTCTTCTGGATAAGAAATTACTTGAAAATAATAGAATTTCCGGTAAATTTAAAGATTAAAAACACACGATATCTTAAACCTTCCACCATAACACTTATAAAACTATAAAAATACTAAAAAATTCATAAGAAATTGAATTCATTAAAAAATAATTTATTTTATCACTGTAAGAATAAATTCTTAAGTTCTTAAATGTTTTAGACAAACTTTACCAACGGGAAATTTATTACCTTTTCTGAATGCCTAAACGCTCTCATAATCTCATCATGGGCATCTTTAGTAATTTTGTGCGGATAGAAGCATACAGTTTCGATGTAAGATTTAAAACCTTTCTCAAGCAAGTCGTCCATTTCTTCATAGTTGTAATCATCATGACTAATTCCATATATCTTATGAATGTAGTTCCAAACAGCCCTCCGAAATATAGTAGTGTCAACATTTTTCTTGTGACCCATGCTAAAAGAAAGTAAACAAATAAATATTGAACTTCTAATTTTTTACCAAACTAATTACTTAAAAGTTATGTAAAATTTAGCATTTATAAACAAAAGCCTAGAGCATATCACATAAAAGGTTTCTATTAGCAAGGACATACACTATTAGAATATATAGCACTCAGAATTGATTCAGAAATTTAGAGATATATTCCATAAAAGATAGCTCATAATACTTTCCAGAAGGTATCCTGAAAAAGAATAGTAAAGATGAACATACCGTTTACTTAATGTAATAAAGATTAAATTTTCGGAATTGTTTCTTCTTACATGTTCAAACTCGAAGAGCAGATGTGCAAACACATTTGTCACGGAGTTCTTATCATTTTACACTGAAGCTTTGGTAACTAACAACCAATGACGAAATGTTTGATCTTAGATAAATTTACGCATTGTACACACACATAAAAGACCAATTTCCAGAATTTTTGGGAAATGTATAGACAAACTTCGATAAGCTGAAAGGTAGTGAAAAATTTCCAGTAATTGAAATTTGACTTATCAAGTGAAGTTAACATTAATTTCGATTTTTACATTTCGACATTCAATGCGAGTTATCGAAAATTTCGACTTAGTGAAGTTCAGTTGCCTTGAGTAAGCCTGAGTTATTTAACAATTGCCGCTTATTCATAAAATCACGAAGGTTTAAGTCGTCAGTAATTAACGCATTTTTTATCATTACGTATTTTTATAAAATTACAGGAAAAGTTTCATCGATTATGGAAAACGCCAGACTGGCATAAGTGTGCGCAGTAATATTTCAATTAATTAAAATTCTTTTTTCACCGAAATGATAAACTGAAAACTAAGGGGTGAAAAGGATGCACATAATTCTTCTTTTATTTGAAATGAAATAGACAGTAATAAATAATAGTTTAATAATACTACTAATAATAAATATAATAAAAACGTCTTATACTAAATATTCAGTACTCTATCAAATAATAAACTTTTTATACGTTCTATCTAACAGCTTAAATATCCTATCTAATTTTTTTCCGGCTATTAGTGTACATGTCAATTTCAAATATAAAATAGCATTAGTAATGGAATGCTTTCGAATTCTCTACCCTCTCCCCCACTTAATATTTTCTTTTCTTGTAGAGTGCCTCAAACTTTCAGTATCGCGATCGAGCATCTCTCTAGAGAATAAAAAGTTGCTTTATAGAAATTCTCATGGAAAAGTTGCTCTTTATGAAACAGAAAGAAGGAAAGCAGAAACAGTTGTTCTACATCGTATCAATAGTTCTTAGAAGAAAATAACATCTGGACCTCCACAACAGGATGGTTTTAGAAAGAAGCATTCGACGACCCATTAACTCTATCATGTGACAGAAATCGGTGCATAAAGTTTTCAGAATCGTTCATAAACAGAACTTTTTTCTAAATACCTCAAAGTCCTTTGAGTGTGTACCGCTGGAAAGGGCTCGCATAAACATGTCTTGTTTATGCGACAACATCATAAACCTCATTCATTACAATTTCGCGAAGAGATACACTGTTGGAAGCTTGCTAAGGATGGACAATACTATCACCCACAGCAACCAGAAAATGAAAGGAAACAAATTGTGGAAAGTGGATACAGTAAGAAGAGGTGTGAGTATACAAATTTTAATTTCATTCGCTCGTTCATCACGTGAAAGCGCTCATGAAAGATTTAAAGTACTTGAGGTGTGAGGGCAGGTGTTGTACCAAGTGAAAGTTTTACAAGAAAGATTTTAATGACCATCTTGATAGATTCGGTATGTCTTCTCGACATCACTTAGATCAGCGGTTCTCAAGCTTTTGACTAACACGAGCCTTCTAAACAAAAACTGAAAACTTTACATTTTCCAACTTCTGACTAGAAATATTAAACAATATATAGTTTGCCATTTGGTCAACCTGTTGGCTATTTGTATTAAATATGCACATACAAAATATTCGATTAAAAATTGGTTATGATTTTAATTATCAAAATTTAAGCTATAATACTTTAGTGTGAAATTTTAGCCTGTTTAAGATTGATCATTTTTTATGTCTGGTTATATTTCACTTAGCTTTAACCATAAATTAGGATTCATTTTTAATTTTGTTCGGTACTTTTTTTTTCAAATATAACATGGAAGAAAATCCTTATTCACAGAAATAGGTTGTGCAAAAAGGGCATAAAAATTTAATAGCTTTATTTGAAATGCCTTTAAATTCCTTTTTTCGGTTCAGTCTAAAGTTAACAAGAGTGTTATTTATGAAACCTTCAGTTAGAGTTCCATCACAGAAAATTGCTATTAATTGTTCTTTTCCTTCACGATATTTTTGAATTTAATAGTTAAAAATACTTTGTTTCTTTGTGTACCAACTACTTTTCTCTTGCGTACTATCTGTTGAGAACCGCTGAGTTAGATGATTTTACACATCACCGTATCATTGGAAAGGTCAAAGGAGAGCGAAACGTAAGAGGTGTTGCCAGGGAGTTCAACATCATCCACAGTATTTTTTAACAGTTGAGGAAAGCTTTTAAAACAATCGGAACTTGTATATTGCTCTATCCACAAAACGAAACCAGCCTACCATGATTCAGCGGGTGGCGAATGAGTTTCTTGCTGCCACAGGCCAGCAGATCTCTCAAAACACTGTAGACAGAAGTTTGGCAGAAGGAGGACCATACGCCCGGAGATCAGCTGTGTGTGTCCAATTGCCCAAACAGCCCCATACTACCCGTCTGTAATAGTGTCAAGAGCATTGCTATGGAACTAAAGAGGAATAGGCTTGCATATTATTCACAGGTGAGACAAGGTTCAGTCTGTCATCGAACTGTAGACGCTAACTGATCTGACATGAGAATTGCTAATCGTTCAGAAAATAATCCAGGAAAGGAACCGACATTTGACACGCAGTATCATGGTGTGTGCCGGGATCATGATCAATAGCAGCACGTTCCTACATGTGGTTGCAATTAGGTCTATGACCGGGCAACGATACACTGATGAATTTACACTGTCTCATGTTCGTCTTTTACTTGGTACTTTCAGTGATAAATTTCTTTTCATAGACCACAACGAAGCACCCATCGAACACTCGCTGTTCAGAATTATGTAGACAACGAGAATATTCAACACCTCGTAAGACCAGCCCGTTCTCCAGATCTAAACCCAGACAATTGCAGTGGAATCAATTGCCTCAACGGCTGTTAGATAATGTTGTGAAAAGCAGTACACGACGGATGGAAAGTTGCACTGCATTTCACGGTGGGCATTCATGTACTGACATCTTTCTCAGAAGTGTCTGCTGTTGTTCATAAGCATTTTAACACTTCTCCTTACACAAATCAAGAGAACACATTTTTACTTTTCGGTATTTCAAAAACTTCTGAATTTCATGAACAATAAATGTCCTTTATTTTATTGCCCAAACAATGTGGCAACAATATTTTATCCTGCTTAAAATCCATCCCCGTTTAATGTTACGCTTTATTGCAATCTGAGATCCGCCCTTAGCAATTGTACAGAAGGGTACTTTGTCGTTCGCTACAACAACACTTACTGCACAAACCGACATCTCATCATTTATGTGAACAACATACCACACACACGTAACACCACACTCGCCATCTATGCAGATCATACGGTGATCATCTCCCAAAATATATCCTTGAATTGAGTCGTACAAATCTGAAGTTTAGTTTTCACTAGGAAGCGAAGACTGGATATTAATATCTGCATGTATGACCAAGTTATCCCGTGGGCAAAGCAAGCCAAATATCTTGGCATTATTTTAGACCAAAGACTCACATGGACCCGACGTATAACACATATTAGTTCACATTCCGAGCCGTTAAAACTAAACTCAACCCCCTAATTGCGTGGAACTTCGTTTGACCTCTCGACAATAAGTTAGTAATTTAAAGTACCAGACTGTGCCCCCATAATCACTTACGTCTCTACCGTTTGGAGTTATGCCTTCTAAAATCAGCTTTCTAAGTTGCAAATTCTTCAAAATGTCAACTTTCAATAAATTCCGAGGAGTACATGGTTCATTCGAAATAATTATATATACGAGGAGCTTAATGTGGATCACATTAATGTTTATATTGCCAAGTTAGCCAAAAACATTTTCATAAAAATTAACCAGGTTAACAATACCACAGTTCCATTATGGACAAAGACTATATGAATAATTAAGCAGAAAATAGCCAGGAGCAGTGTTTTGCTGCGCTTAAATAAACTAACGTATTTGTTTCTTCTTAAAAGTTCTTTTACTAGATTTTAATCTCTCTTTCCCTAATTATTTTGGCCATCTTATAAAAATCACTATGATTCGGTAAGAGTCTCTGCCGCCCAATTGCCTATAAATGCACTTTACTCCCAGCCATTACTGAACATTTAAAGATAACATAAATAATAAGAGTAAAAAAGACTAGTTTTCCTTTATATTGTCATTTCCTGTGTGCGTTTCTATTGCTTTATTTATTAATTTATTTTTCTGAATGCCATGTATAAATATACAGAGCTAACAACTGAATATTAAACACTGTCTAAAATATATTCCTTGACAGTTTGGTTTGAGAGAACTCATTTCTGCATGCTAATTAAAATTCTGCACCAATAAAGTTATAAACTGCATGCATTTACATAAATAATAAACAAAAATATATAAAAAATTTAGAATTTCATATTAAATAAAGAAGTCAAATTATGCTGAGAATTTAATTAAATAATCAATAATTAAATAAAGAAAGGGGTCAACCGTTTAATTGGGAATACACGCATTAAAAAACTAAAACAAAAAAAATAATAAATAAAATGGAATTAATATAAAAAATGTTGTGAAAATTCCTTGCTTTTTTCAAGGAGCAGACGAAGAATTTTCAATAGAGCCGCTTTTGAATTATATGTGGATGACTGTGAATTCTTGAAAGAAAAGTTGTAAAATAAAAATAATAAAATTATTAAAAGGCATAAATGAAAATTAAAAAAAACTTTC